TCCCCCCCTCCTCCTCCTCCCCTCCCCTCCCCCAACAATCTTGTTAATTATTAGTTTGGCAGTTTGTATCTGAAACTCTGACCGCGAACTCGTCTTTGAGGGAATAGCGCCTCGAAAGGAAAATGAGAACCTACCTACTGGTAGTTGACTCCTACTGCTACCGGTAGGCGGAGGCTCCGCCGACCGGTAGTCCGTCAGCCCCCCGTTGAATTTTGTGGATTTTTTTGTTTTTTCCAAATAAAATAATTCAGACCATTTCTCGATGTATGCGGGTCATCCTTCCTTGCGCAGGGCCGGAAATAATATTAGCGGGTGGAAATAATAATCTTATGTCTCCGTATGGTTCCAATTTTAAGGGGTGTCCGGAAGGACAAGTTTGGGGTATTATTATTTTATTATTGCGGTATAGGTAGTAATTTGTAAGTGTGCTAGAGGAAGAGGTAAACCTACCTTCCCTCTAGCTGTATTTGGGTCGACTTTCAGTCTAGATACAGCTATATAACTGCTAGTAATTTGTAAGTGTACTAGAGGAAGAGGTAAACCTACCTTCCTTCAGACTGGAAAGATAGCTTGCACACACCCCTGATCTGGGAAGACGGTAGTTAACTCAATTGCTACCGTCTTAGACCCGAATACCACGTCCGGTCATTTTAGCTGTATTTGGGTCGACTTTCAGTCTAGATACAGCTGTAATGACTGGGCGTTCTAGCCGGGTGAAGACGGTAGGCGACAGAACGGAGGGAGAAGAGCGTAGTAAGTGGAAGCAAACGAGATCGGGTTTCGCCGAATAGAACACACGGTTATTAGCGCTGTATTATTCTATGTTAGTTTGGCATGACGTCCCAGAGGTGAAATTTAGATCGGGATTCGAACACAGGTCTATATTTCAACAGGTTGTGGGTGGATTCCATAGTCAGAGGTGAAATTTACTTGGATTAAGAGAGAGAAAGAGAGGAAAAGAAGGGAGGAGGAGGGGGGAAGAGGAGAAGAGGTTAGGGAGGGGAAACAACATATATCCCTGTTCTTGTTGCCCTCTCTCTTTCGCTCAAATGCGCTACTAGTTTGGTTGGTTTTTGTTCTACAGGATTTCCCTCTGTGACAATAATACAAATTGTTTGATTTCCAAAACAACCGAAAAAAGAACAACTGTTTGATTCCATTTGCTGTGCAGCAGCGTTCTTCCCGAGAGGATGGAAGAGATCGAGGAAGGGAACGGGATCGGGATGGTGGCAGATATCGAGATCGTGGGTATCCGGATGAACGAGACAGACATCGGGACCATCGGATGGATAGAGATCGACGGCACCGGGATGACAGAGATAATAGGGAGCGTGATTATCATAACCGCGACAGGTAAAAAATCTACTCTCCCCTAATTTGATGTCTTTTTTCCATCCGTCTTCCTTTTTGTTTTCTCATGCGTCGGCTCCTCGGCACGACTTCAGTTTCTGTGCTCCTTTTTGTGCATTGCGGCTCCCTATGCCTCTCTTAATCCTGTCCGATTGCCTGTGTGATTGCCTGGCATGATGGCCTCTCTGATTGACTCGCTGATTGCTTGTCTGGTTGCCTGTCTGATTGCGTGGCATGATTGCCTCCGACTGACTCTCTGATTGCGTCTCTGATTGCCTGTGTCAGTTTTCTTTGTCTGTTTGCCTCCGACTGCCTGAGTCTGTTTGCCATTCTGATTTCCTGTCTGATTGCCTGTCTGATTTTGTCTCTGATTGCCTGTCTGATTGTGTCTCTGATTGCCTGTCTGACTGTGTCTCCGATTGGCTGTCTGACTGTGTCTCCGATTGGCTGTCTGATTGTGTCTCTGATTGCCTGTCTGACTGTGTCTCCGATTGGTTGTCTGATTGTGTCTCTGATTGTCTGACTGTGTCTCCGATTGGTTGTCTGATTGTGTCTCTCATTGCCTGTCTGATTGTGCCACTGATTGCCTGTCTGACTGTGTCTCTGATTGCCTGTCTGACTGTGTCTCCGATTGCCTGTCTGATTGTGTCTCTGATTGTCTGTCTGATTGCATGTGCCAATTTTCTCTTTCTGTTTGCCTGTCTCATTGCTTGTGTTTGTTTGCCATTCTGATTGCCTGTCTGATTGACGACCTGGTTGCCTGTCTGATTCTCTCTGTGATTGGGTCTCTGATTGCCTGTGTCAGTTTTCTCTGTCTTGTTACCTGTCGGACTGCCTGTGTCTGTTTGCCATTCTGATGCCCGCCTGATTGCCCGTCTGTCTGATTGCCCGTCTGTCTGATTGCCTGTTGGTTCTTCTATCTCGAGAAGGCTCTGCTCAGATGGACACTGGAGGCTTTGTTCGGATGGGATGCTGGACCCGGTTTCCAGCCAACCCAAAGCTGGGTAATGGCCCCAGTAAGTGTCTTTCCGGGTTGTTTGCGAGGATCCCTCGCCTCATCTTGCTTTTTGAAATATAATTGCGTCTTCTCTCTCAAAAAAAAAAAAAAAGAGGAAAAAGTTCACTGTATGGTTTGACTTCTTTCTGGCATGGCACTAAGAGGGGGGGGGGGGGGGGGGGGGGGGGGGGGGGGGGGGGAGAGGGTGAGAGATTTTTGCCTGTTGCTTCTCTGTTCTGTTGGTTGATTTCCGAACGTGGCAAATGTCATTTCTGTTCCAATCATTTTCACGAGGAGCAGATTGGGGAAGTTGGGGGGAGGAAATGTGTTTTCCTTTTTTCTTTGTTAATGGAAATTTAGTTGGAAAAGTACAGACATGACGTGCCTGCCTGGGTTTGCCAATTCAAAACTGCCTGCTTGGTTCGATTGTGTTTTGGTAAGTCCGGAATCGTCACGAAGAGAACTTTAAAAAATGACCTTCCATCCTTGGAGACATCCTTTACAAATTGGAGCTATACGGAGAAGACTAGCATGGGCCCTGTCTGCGCAAGGACGACACGCACGCATAAATCAATAAATGGTCCAAATTAAAAAAGAAAGAAGAAATAATTTCAAATAAATGCATTACTACTCTTGAGAACTGGGTTAATCGCCGCCGTCTCTGCCTGAGATTTTTCTTCTACCTAACTACATAATAAGAAAAAGGCACTTACACTCTCAGCACTCACTATTGGTTCGGTTTTTTTTTTTTTTGGGTTCCTGTCATCATTTGTGTGGAAACTTTGTGGGTGGCAGTGAAGTTTGCCCTTTTGTGTGTTGTGAGCATGTGTGCATGTAATAGTATTATGTACTTTTCTAAAAATAGATGAAGTTTTTTCAACTTTTTTGGCCTTTCGGCTAAAAATAGATTAAGTGTGGTATCGGTTGTCTGATAGGTTTAATATCTGATCTGTTGTCCATTGGGAATAACGACAAGAAAACAAAAAAGAGAATGTGTCTGACTTTGTTTTACCGGCGGTGCTAGTTCGGTTGGTACACCTGTGCACTGTGTTGAGATGCAGACCGGAGTTTGGGTTGCACATGGAACTATGTGAATAGGAAAAAGACTTTTGTGACTATGTTTGACATTGTTGCCCTCTTGACGTATTTAGCAGACGGAGCAGAGAATATGACCGAGATAGGGAAAGGAGAACTTCTCGCCATCGGTCACGATCTCTGTCAAGGGGGCGATCCAGCAACCGCTCGCGGTCTCGCTCTGCATCGAGGTCACCGTCGAAGTCAAAGGAAGCCAGGAAGAGGTATGTTCTTCAATGTTTCTTCTTCTTCTTCTTCTTCTTCTTCTCTTCCTTCTTGTCTGCGTGTGCTATGGAAGGGGTTGTTGGAAGGGGGTGGAAGGGGTTGTTGGAAGGGGGTGGAAGGGAGGGGGGGGACTGTCGGAGTCAAAGGAAGGCAGGAAGAGGTATGTTCTTCAAACTTTTTCTTCTCCTTGTCTCCATTGTTGTGTGTGTGTGTATGGACGTCTTTCTTTGTGCTGTTGGAAGGTCTTGCCCCCCGCCACCCACTTCGTTGAGCTCCCCCTCCCTCCCCCTCCTGCAAAAAAAAAAAAAAAAAACCAACGGAAAACATCAAAAGGTTCTGTAAATGCAAAGTTGTAAACAGCTTTTGGGCAGAGGATCACTTCAGAATTCCGTACTAATTAATTTGAAGGTAGACGACGTGAGATAGGAAACTTGAGCCAAATCAAACCCGTTTTGAGAAGTTTCGACCCCTTTCCAAGTTGTTATTCAGAGGAAATTCCTTCCTTACCCTTTTTATCGTTTTGAAGTTCTCTTCATGGATATTTTTAGCGGGGCCGGTATCTGATGCTTGGAATGTGGTGAAGCTGTCAAACTATGCCATCCAAATGTCATGTGGAGATGCGATTTCGACAGCTCTTTTTTTTTTTTTTTTTTTTTTTTTAATTGCCTCCGTTCCCCTGCATCCCTCCCCCTTCGTTTTGAACCGCCAATGCATTTGAATCTAGCCTTTGGAACCCCTCTGTGTTTTCTAGGGCAGGTTATGCCAGGCCATTAGGGACCTGTTCAAAGTGACACAAGCGTGCTTTTTTGCTAGCAATGGGCCTGCCACTTCCTTTTGCGATCAGACAGCAGTACTGTGTGCCTGCTGCCTTTTGAAGGTTTCAGTGTAAAGTGAGTGATGAACCTTCTAGATTACTGTTCCACAGTGTCAGAGT